GTGCGCTGCGGGCCGGGCCGGGGAGGGAGGACGGGGGACACAGGGAGGCCGCCGGGCCTCTCACCGCCCCCTCTGCCCCTAGATTCCGACAGTGCCTGCTGGCCCTCAACGACACCATCTCCAACATCATCGGCGTCACCTTCTTCAACGTGCTAGAGGTGCCGTGCTTCGTGCTGGAAGAGAGCGAGCAGTGCGTGCAGTGGCACTGGTGGGGAGGGTGAGTGCCCGGGGGGTGCCCGCTGCTGCCGCGGCCCCACGCATGCCCTGCCGGGTGCCGCCCCTGCTGCAGGGGATGCAGCTTGGCCATGGCAGGGCTGGTGTGTCGTACCTCATGGCATGTGCTGTTCCCAGGTGTGAGCGTTACGGTGTTGTGCCCCTGGCCAGGATGGTGCAGCAGAGTCAGTACCACTACAGCCCGCTCGCGGAGGAGGCGGGCAGCCCTGTGGTGCAGCCCTCGGGCAAGGGGGCAAAGCCCTCCAGAACAGGGCGCAAGAGGCTCCAACAGGGACAGGTGCAAAACCGTGGGCTTCGCCGGGCATGGAGACCTGCAACAGCCCAGCAGCTGTGGGGCCCAGGTACCTTGTCCTCTGCGTCCACCAGGGACAAGGCTGAGCCCACAACGAGGCATCCAGCAGTGCAGAGGGGGCTGGAGCCTGGCCCCACAACAGCAGTGAGTGTGTTGGAACAGGATCTTGCTCGAGGAAGGCAAGTGCTGGGAGAAGCACAGCTGAGCGCTGGGAGCTCAGCAGTCCCTGCCGGCACGGCCTGCCCTGGCAATGGTGTTGTCAGACCCAGCCTGGCCACAGAGTGGAACAGAGCCACCCCCAGGCCTGCTGTCGAGGGGGGCAGGCAGCAGGGTGAGTTGGTGGTGGGGGCAGAGCGTGTGCCACAGCAGGTGTGTGGTGTGTGGGCCTCAGGCCCTTGGGGTCGTGAGCCAGGAGTGCTCCTTACCTGCCTTGCTGTCCTCAGGCCCAGGCAGGGTGTGCAGGTGCCACAAGCACCTGGATATGTGTGAGCACCAGATTGCACCCCATGAGGTGAAGTACCAGCTGCACAATGTGGATACACGGACCCTCTTCCACTGCAACTGCACTCGCAGGTGTGTGTCCAGGAAAACAAAGGCAGGGCTTATCCCACCATCACGGCCACTGTGTGCAGATAGTTTGAGACCCAGCAGGATGCCCACCCTGGCCAGCAGCTGCTGACCACTGCCATCCTGTGCCTACAGGCTGGTGCGGTTCCTGCGCAGGGCAAGGGACATCAGTGACGTGGAGGTGGCTGACCTAGCTGACCGCATTGCCATGGGCTGCTTTGTGCTGGAGCCACCCACTGATTGCATCCCGGGTGAGGGGCCACAGGACAGGTGAGTGGGGAGGAGCAAGGGAACATGGTCTGTGCAGGTCTTCCCACCACCCTGTATAGGCAGGAAGAATGCCCTGGTGGGGCTGGGTGCTGCCCTGCAGGCTTGGCATGCAGCTGCCTTGTGTTATCCCTAGCTCTGCTGTGAGTGGGGCTGGGGTGCAAAATGGCTGTCAACGCAGCAGCATCGCAGTGATGCTCACAGCTTTGCTTCTCTGGCAGCTGTATCACAGCACCCAGGGCCATGCTAGTACCTGCACAGTATCTCAAAAAGACCATGAGACACTGGGGTCTTCCACATGTGAGCTCCAAGGCCAAGCGTCCAGACCAGAAGATGGACAGTAGTGGCACCCTCTATGAGCAATGCTTGCGGCTGGCCTTGGAGCAGCAGCTGGGCGCTCCCCACCACAAAGTCCCCCGATGATGATGAGCATTGCCTCACTTGGGAATATGTGCTGTGCAGCAATAACGGAGTGGAGCAGCTCGATTTCTGGTCCTTGAGACAAAGTCTGGCACAGAGTGCCACTGCATGGAGCTATGGCTGGAGTGGGGCAGGCAGAGGACTGAAAAGCCTCTCAAGGAGCTGTGGCTGGGGGCCAATGGCTGCCATCTGTGAGCATCAAAGCAAAGGGAACAGGAGGGCTTGGGAAAGGGAAAATCCACCATCTTCCTTTGCTGCTGTGCCCTGGGACAGTAGGGATGGCAGGGCCCCCCACCCTTGTATGTGTGCCCCTCCAGCTGTGGGTTGAGCAGTGTGCCATAATCCTGGCCTCCTTCCTTAGGCAGAAGGAGAGGGGGTGCAGGTGGGCTGAGGTCTGCACCAGCTCCCAGCCCTAAAACAAGGTGGGGGGAGCAATAGCCAGAGGCAGGCCCAGAGCTCTGCCCCCTGTGTGCAGCAGAAGATAAATAAAGGGTGATCCGAGTGTGGCATGTGGTGCTGTGGCTAAGGCTGCTGCTTCTCTTCATGCTGTGGCCCCCACCCCAGGAGCTGATCCTGACTGCTGCAGTAAGCACAGTGCAGCTGAGGTGGGCAGGATGGTTTATTTTGTTGCTTGCACTATGTCCAAGGCTGAGGCACAATGGTAGCAGCAGGGAAGGAGCAAGCTTCAATCTCAGGGGTACCCTGGGGTAGTCCTCACTCTAACCCATTATTGCCACCTGTCCTGGTCTCCTGCCCAACCTCAAGTGTAAGGCCGGCACTCCTCCCATGGGACTGAAGGGTCTGCTGCTTGGAATTTCATGAGGGGCTCCCTCCTACTGCATTCAAGCAGCCTTGCCCTCCCCAGTACCACCTCCCAGCCCTGCCAGGACTGGGGAAGCAAGGGAGGGACCCACCTGCCAGGCACACAAGAGGGGTGAGGAGTCATTGCAATAAATAAGAGAGGAGG